AAAATTATCATAACACCACTGTGTATCTTCATGGTCTAAAAATAAGGATAAAAAAGTTTTGTTTGAAATAGCCAGGGACATCTTTGGGCTTTGACTGTATCAAGCCAGCCTACAAATAGCAAAGTACTATTTCCAAGGCTGGCAAATCTCACAACCAAAAGTGAGTTCCCTTTCTTGGTCCTTGTAAACCGTGATTAGATCAGCAGAAGGATAAGAAGACATTTTGGCTAATTTTGTCTAAAACTACCACAAAATCCTTGGAGACTGCAGAAAGAAAACTCAGGGTTGTCACTAGAAAATGTAATAGGTGTCTGATCTGAACTGAGTAGGTGGCTGCACAACACGCCCCTCAAGGGGGGTCTGGGGGTGTGTTCCCCTGGAAAAATTTGAAATTTGAAACTCTCTGAGATGCATTTTCCAGCATTCTGGGGCATGTTTGAGCAGCATTTTTTTTAGCCAGACATTGATGTTAAATTCAATTTCCCTGTTTATCGCTATAAAAATCCTCTGGACACAAGCTTCACGTTTTTATTTAAAATAAGGGTATGTTTCATTCATCAAAGTATTTCCTCTCATCTCTAAACATAACAACTGATAAATATCTGGAAATCACTCACCAAATGCTGCAAGGTTTGCAAAATCACGGAACATTCACCTTAGTTTATTTTTTAATTAGGATTGTCTGAGGGGTTTAATGACAAGTATTCCAAAAGGTCCATATTTGGTGAGCATTCTAACATTGCAAAATCCTTAAAAAAAACCAACAATCTAGCAGCAACTTTGACGGCCACGTGTATGGTTGGAATGACATTTTAAATCGCAGAACTTAATGTTCACGTATCTCTGTCGAAGTCATAAACAAAAGAACAAAATTTTCCTTCAAAATTGTTGTCATGTCTCTGTCGGATAACGTAAATTATATGTTCTATTCTGCGATTCTACAAAAGCAGTTAAAGTCTCTCTGTCCCGAACCAGAAAGAACATATTCCAATGAGAAGTTAAATTATTTAACGGTACATGTTTACAACAAAGGAAAATCTTCCTGCCTTTGAAATCTTAAGAGTGGAATGGACACAACAGTTTCAGCAAGGTGAAAAAGATCTTTATAGACACTTCCTTCTCCAACCCTCTGAAAGCTCTTTTGAAAGTATGTAGTGGATCAGCGATAATTTGCCACTGTATTTTAACAAATGGGGCCAGTTTATCTTGGTATTAAATGCTTCAGGAGCTTCACAATTATAATATTTGACAGCAATCGAAACTACCTCTTATCTTGGTGGCTCTCTTTTTTTGCTAGATTTTGTCTTCTTCAATTGACTTGACAAGTAATCACGAAGAGATCGCTTTCTTCGCTGGCCATCATTTTCGATTTTTGAAGCATCAACGCACATGTGAATTAATTGCGATGGTTTCGTGCTTCATGACGGTCACGCATTTATATTACTCATTCTGTCAACACCACTGATAGTTTTTGCACAATAGTTCCTGTACAAGTTTTCAGTTTTTTCCTTCTTCCATAACATCAGATATATACAAGAGAATGATCACTAAAGTAAGTCTCAGATTTACAAAAAAGATTTCTTGGGAAGACAAATCTCACTATTACAAAATTTCTGGTCATAAAGTAGGCGGCGTAAAATGGCCTGACAGCCGGCGGGTTTCCGCCGCCTACCGGCTCCTAATGACAACACTGGGACTCCACTCACAATTCCCTTATTTCCCTTCTTCCACAGTCACAGGGAAATTTGTTTCCTTGAGTGCGATGTAGGACAAACAGAATTCACTCCACCTGGTTTGATTTCACTTCATAAAGTTGGTACCTCTTTGCTGGGTAAGTAAACATCTAACTGGATTCATGTCATGACTTTAACAAGACTTAGGAAAAGTAAAACTTTGAACTGAGGGTAAACCTTCTGGAAATATTTTCAGCTGTAGAAGACTCAGGCTAAAAATCGGAAAGCTCTTAACCCCTAAGAGAGGACAAACATCTAATTTCTCGACATTGTCGATCCTAGTAGCCTGCAGGATGCGTGTCATAATATGAACTTTGTAATGGGCCTTGCTCACCATAGTCTCTGTAGCTTAGTGCAGGTAGGGCATCGGAGCACGGAAATCCCAAGGTCTGAGGCTCGATTCGTCATGGGGACTTAAAATTCTTTCTTTGTCGCACGCTCTTGAATAGACGAACAAAAAGTCATCTTTCTGCATCTATTTTCTCCTCAATATCACCCCTGAATCTAACATTAATGCGTG